CGGAGGAGAAGAGGGGGAGTTCAGTTCACAATTGGAGGAGCATGCAGGATTTTCAAGATTGTCTTATGTCTTGTCATCTTAGTGATCTGGGGCACCAAGGTCCGAGTTTTACTTGGAGAAGAGGTAATCTTTTGGAGAGACTTGATCGTGCTTGTGTAAATCAAAGCTGGAACATGTCATTTCCGAACAGAGTTATCTCTCACCTTCCTTTTTATAACTCTGATCATCGTCCAATCCTTCTTTGGGATGGACAACCAAATTTTAGTAATGGAGGGGCTCGTCCTTTTCGTTTTCTAGCGGCTTGGTTGACTCATAATTCTTTCTCTGATCTAGTGAAGAGGTGCTGGGCAGGTGGTCACAATTGGAAAGCATCTAGTGAAAAATTTCGAGAGAAAGCCACATCCTGGCATAAGGATTGTTACAAGGAGGAGGAGAAGTTAAAAAATAATCTTCATTCTCGCCTCCGTGGAATTGATTATAGCTTAAGTCAACATCCTTGTCATTCTCTGGAGAGGCTGCAGAAAGAGATCTGGCAACAGTTAAATACTATTTATCTTAGAGAAGAGATTACATGGTACCAAAGATCTAGAACTGACTGGATTCGGTTTGGTGACCGTAATACTAAATTCTTCCATTCAGCAACAGTTGCCAGGCGTAGGAGGAATAGGATTGATGCCCTTCAAAATGATGTCGGGGATTGGATTGCTGACCCTTCTCTTCTCATGAGTATGGCAGTGGAATACTATGATAATTTATATAAGGAAGATATTCCTCTCCGGCCTAATTTTCCCATTAGGAACAAATTCCCAGAAATGGAAAGGAGAGTTATGATGGCTCTTGAGAGCTGCCCTAGTAGTCAAGAGATTAAAGGAGTAGTGTTCTCAATGGGGCCTTTTAAAGCGCCTGGTGTTGATGGTCTTCATAGCATATTTTTTCAAAGCCAATGGGATGTAGTGGAGAGCTCTGTTTGTAATTTCATTAAGGGAGTCTTCAATGATCCTAGTCGTATAGAAGAAGTGAATCAGACTCTTCTTTGCTTGATTCCTAAACTTGAGAATCCTCATACTTTCAAGGATTTTCGTCCGATTAGCTTGTGTAATGTTATTTATAAAACGGTAACAAAAATTGTTGCTAACCGTTTAAAATTGCAGATGGACAAGCTGGTGATGCCTAATCAGTGTAGTTTTATCAGAGGTAGACAAGGTACGGATAATGTCATAATTGCTCAAGAGCTAATACATTCAATGAGGAAAAAGAGAGGATCTAAAGGTTGGATGGCGATCAAGGTTGATCTTGAGAAAGCATACGATAGGATCAGTTGGAATTTCCTTCAGGATACCCTATATGATGTAGGGCTTCCTGAAAATTTGATAAGACTAATTATGTTGTGTGTTTCATCTTGCACTATGAATGTTCTTTGGAATGGGGCTTGTACTAAAGAATTTCGGCCAACTAGAGGCTTAAGACAAGGAGATCCTCTTTCTCCTTATCTTTTTGTCCTCTGCATGAAAAGACTAGCCCATCTCATTTCTCAGGCAGTGGATCACAGGAGGTGGAAGCCAGTGAGGATTAAAAGGGGAGCTCCACAAATTTCCCACTTATTTTTTGCTGACGATCTCCTTTTGTTTGCAGAAGCTTCTCAGGAGCAAGTGTTAATAATTCAACAGGCCTTACATATATTTTGTGATTCATCTGGTCAAAAAGTCAATCATAGTAAGACTAGAGTTTTCTTTTCTCAGAATGTGGGTCATACTCAAGCAAACCATCTTAGTAGGCTTCTTGGTTTTTCTTTGACTGCGGATCTTGGAAGATACTTGGGAATTCCTTTGCATCATAAGCGAGTGGGTCGGTCATCTTTCTCTTATGTTTTGGATCGAATGAATTCTAGAATTGCTGCTTGGAATCATGCCAGTCTATCTCTAGCAGGTCGTGTTACATTATCTAAAGCAGTGTTATTAGCAATCCCATCATATCCAATGCAGGTGTGTTCATTACCGCAAGTCACCTGTGAAGAGATTGATAGGAAGATTCGAAATTTTGTTTGGGGTTCATCTCCACACTCTAGACGTTCTCATCTTGTGGCCTGGAAGCAGATTTGCATGGATAAAAAAAATGGAGGCCTTGGACTGCGGAGTATGAGGGAAATGAACTCAGCATTTATCATGAAGGTTGGGTTCAACCTCGTAGCTCATCCAGATGCCTTGTGGTCAAAGTTCTTACGTGCTAAGTACAATGTGGAGGCAGGCATGACACCAATTATTCATGCTCCAAACAACAGCTCCCAGCTTTGGAAGGGAATTACGCGTCATTGGAATATTATAATGGATCATAGTCGGGTGCAGTTAGGCAATGGTCAGTCCACTATGTTCTGGCTTGATAGCTGGCTGCCCGATTGTGGTCCTTTGATCTCATATGCAGGTTCTCAGTTTTCTATTAGTGATACTCTTCAGAAGGTGGTGGACTACGTGGATGAATTGGGGCAATGGAAATGGAATTCTCTTCGACAATTGCTTCCAAATTCTGTGCTGCATCGATTTATGAATTTTCTTCCTCCTTCTAGTCAAGATGGCCAGGATCATTTAATTTGGAATGGAACGACAGATGGCAAGTTTACTGTTAAGTCAGCATATGCAATATTAGCCATCAAAGATACTACAATCCAACAGTTTCCTTGGGAAAGTGTTTGGAGATGGCAGGGGCCAGAAAGAATTCGCTTTTTTCTTTGGTTAATGGCAGGGGAGAAGCTGATGACTAATGTTTGTGGACTCCGCCGCCATATGGCTCTTTCAGATCTGTGTCCTAGATGTAATCAGTCTAGTGAAACTATCCTTCATACTATTCGCGACTGTCCACAATCAAAGGAAGTATGGTGCATGATAATGCCTCATATAAATCAGCGTGAATTTTTCAACCTCAACCTGCACAATTGGATCATTTCTAATTTAGACAGCTCAAAGGATTGGGGGATGGGGTCGGACTGGCCTCTTTTATTTGGAATCTTAGCCTGGAAAATTTGGAAATGTAGGAATTCTTGGGTTTTTGAAGGTGATCGCCAGAATGCTTATTCACTTATCCGTTCAGCAATTGGTTTCAGAGATAGTGTCGCTCTTGCAGCTAACCCTGTTTTTGGAGCGGGCAATCAACCAAGGAATCAAATAGAGAGATTGGTTGCTTGGTGTTGTCCTCCTGTGGATTGGGTTAAGCTTAATGTTGATGGTGCATGTGATGCTAATGGTACTAGGACTGGGTGTGGAGGAGTTTTTCGCGATGCCTCAGGAACTTGGATCGTCAGATTCTGTAAAAATTTAGGCTCAGGTACAGTTTTGCATGCTGAGTTATGGGCTTGCTTGGTTGGTTTGGAGCTAGCTTGGGATAGAGGTTTTAGGCAAGTTTGGCTCGAAGGAGATTCTCTTTCAGCTCAACAGCTCATTACAAATGGGTGCCACCATGATTACCCTGCGGCTAATTTGGTGAATCGTATTCGAAATTTGATGCAGCGAGATTGGCAGATTTATATGTCTCACATTCACCGTGAAGGAAATAGAGTAACGGACTTTCTAGCCTCTTACTCTTATGGTTTCTCTTGGGTAATTCAGGAATTTGATTGTCCACCGTCAGGTTGTATTGATAGTCTGTATGGTGACACTATAGGTGTTCACTGGTCTAGGCTTTGTGCCTAGTTTCTTTTTGCTGTGTTTTTGTTTTAATTTCCTATTATTTCCAAAAAAAAAAAAGAATATTCAGCACTCCCTATCCACATGTATATTACCCATAATTATATCAATTAAAGAAAAAGATATAATATTTATATTTAAAAAATTCAAAATAATTGGTAAGATATTTATGTTGTCGTATTTTGAGTCAATCATAAAAAACTTTTTTTTTTTGTCACTTTTTAGTTTTCACATTACTATATGTTATTTTTCAACTAATTACTTATTTTACATTAAAAATATGTGAAATGACTAAATAATTAATAAAATATATATTTTATTGTCTCATTAATTAAATGTCTAATAATTATTATTTTTTATTACTTTTCATTGGTCAACCGTTTCTTTCATTCCCAATCAACAAAATGTGATATGTATTTATTGAACAACGGCAGATATTCTCTTATATATGAAACATTTTTTTTTGTTGTAATATCCACGTTTTCTTCTTTCCTTGTTTATGTTGACTAGTAATTAGGAGTTATACATTTCAAAAGATCACTATAAGAATTAAATTATAAAAATTTCCCGATAAATTAATTTTAATTAATTTCAATTGAAAAAAAAAAAACCTTAATTTGTATTTAGCTTTGGGATATTATTGAGCAGACGTTCGGTTGAACTGGCCAACAAAATTCTGACCCTGTACTCATGACTCAATCATCAAAATCAAGAATGTGAAATTGATGTATAAGTTGCATCTGTATTTACCTTGCCAAATCAATTATTAGAGGCAGTGGTTGATTAAAAAAGATAGAGAAACCTTGTCAACTAGGGGGAATTAGGAACTCAAATAGTTCGTGGAATAAATCAAACCACTTTCACACGGAACGGAAGCTTCCTAACGATGAGCGGGGGCTCCAAATGTAGGACATGGTGATTTCTTATGATTAGTTTAATATTTTATAACAATGTATATATTAAGGGTTGGTTGTTAATAATTTAAAATTGCAAAAATATTTTAAGATTTTTTAACCTTAGCTCCACCCTCATTCCACATCAACAACTCAACAACCAAAACCCACCAACTCTTATAAATACTTAATTCAACTTCTCCATCTCTCTCATTACCTCTTACTACCTGCTCCATTTTATTCAACTTTGTTTGCATCACAAGGAACAAACACTAGAATCGCTTTGAGTTCTCAGAACCCAATTGGGGAATATCACAATTTACTAAGTCCCTTGTATTTTTATTTTTTTTATATTTTTGAATCAAGCAAGGGAAGGAAGGAAGGAGGGATTAGAAGGAATATCTCAAACTCAAACCACCATCGATTTTCATTCATGGCTAGCATGTTGAGGCTTGTGTTGGCCTTGTCTGTTTTGATTTCAGTGCTTGTGACATCCTCTGCTCAAACATGCAAAACACAAACATTCTCAAACAACAAGGTGTTTACAACCTGTCGTGATCTTCCACAGTTGACCTCTTACCTCCACTGGAGTTATGACGAGGCAACTGGGAAATTGGACATAGCATTCATACATGGCGGAATCACATCAACAAATAGGTGGGTTGCTTGGGCTATCAATCCCAAAAACAACATCGGTACAGCCATGCCTGGAGCTCAAGCTCTTGTGGCTATACCACAATCCAGTGGAAGCCCAAAAGCTTATACATCATCCATAGTCGACACCAGCACACAGTTGAAAGAGGGAACCATTAGTTATCCTGTTTCGGGCTTGACTTCAACCTATCAGAATAACGAGGTTACCATTTTTGCTACCTTGACCCTTCCAAACGGTACCAAATCTTTGGTCCATGTTTGGCAAGATGGAACTCTTTCTGGTTCTAACCCTCAAGAACATATGCATGATACTTCCCACACTAACTGCAAGGAAACCTTGGATCTTGTTTCTGGTGCTTCTCAGGCAGCTAGCGGGAATTCACGTCAAAAAAGAAGAAACGTAAGTAGTTGACTCTCTCTCTCTCTCAATCTTTTTTCAAAACCTTTCTAGTTATGGCTATGTTAATTTGGAGAGATAGATTGATTGATTAAAGATTCTTAATTTCAGACACATGGAGTGCTAAATGCAATAAGCTGGGGCATCTTGATGCCAACGGGTGCTGTGATAGCAAGGTACTTGAAGGTGTTCAAATCAGCTGACCCTGCTTGGTTTTACCTTCATATCACGTGCCAAGCCTCTGCCTATATAGTTGGCATTGCTGGATTTGGAACTGGTATTAAACTCGGTAATGAATCTGAAGGTGTTGAATTTTCCACACATAAAGCACTTGCTATTGTCCTAATCGTCTTTGGAACTCTTCAGGTACGTTGTCTTCATGATTTGCTTGCGAAACCGTAGTAGAGATGCTCATTTATGCATGTTCCGAATGTTATGCTACTACTATTAACTATTGTGTTGGTGTGGTGTGGTGTGGTGTACTAATAGAAACCTATGTGATATGATTCAGGTGTTTGCTCTGTTTTTGAGGCCCAACAAAGACCATAAATATAGATTCTACTGGAATGTCTATCACCACTTGATCGGATACGCCACCATAATCATCAGCATCGTCAACGTTTTTCAAGGATTCGAGGCTATGGGAAGTTTCGTAGGAGATCTCTACAAAAACTGGAAGCACGCGTACATTGGCATTATTGGAGCCTTGGGTGGCATTGCTGTCGTTTTGGAAGCTTACACATGGATCATTGTCTTGAATAGGAGGCGGTCTGAGAAAGAGATGTCGCATAACACCAATGGTGCAAATGGTGTTAATGGGTATGGTTCTAGGCCACAGGTGGTGTAGGATGTGTAACCAACCACATAGATATTGCTTTTTTGTTATTTTGTGCCTCTCAGTCCATGTGCATTTTGTTGTTCTATATTTTCTTATATATGTTGAGGGTATTTAGGGTACCCTAGCCATTTAGAGTCTCAGTTTTGAGGACATTCTTTCATAGGGTAGTGTGACTTTAAGGGGTGTGGTTTTCTCCATACTACTACAGAGCATACGTTGTATTGGTTTCTATTTCTTCATATTTGTATTTATTATTTACTTACATCTTACTCTTTCTTTTCTTTTTCCTTTTTTTTTTTTTTTTTGGATAATACATCTTACTCTTTCTACATACCTTGAGTTTGAAATATTTTTATTACGTTCTCTGGGAGCAACCTTCCTATTTCTTTCTTTGGCTTGTGGCAAAACAAAAAGACGCAGATGTTTACTATGAAATTTGGCATCAAAGTACTTCCAAAAATAACTAATATATATTGTAGCAATTTAAATTTCTCTCCGGAACACAGACTCAAATGTTCTGAAGCCTAAACTGGAAATCAAATTGCAAGAGTTCTAATAATAATTCAATTGGTCCAATTGACTAACTTGATTGTTCAACCAGAATTGAACGAGGTACCTTAATATGGAATAACCGAAACAGAAATATAACCAATGCATGGTCTGACTGATTTAATCAATCGTTCCAATCCAATTTATTAGACTTTGCCTGGACTCCAACAAGAGTATGATTACAAAATAAGAGTTCAAACAAAGAAGTGTACAGCTTAGGTTCACTGAATATGTTAGGTACATTTAGGTGAACATTGACCCATCCTCCATTAGAGTAGACTTGGTCATAAAGGAATGCATTGCGTTATCTCTCTTTACCACTTTCCACCTCACCATTCACCAAAGAAATTGCATTGTTTAATTCTCTGTTCCTCTCCAGGCAATATTTCGTTCAAACTTTGCTTCTCTATTCCTGATCAATCATTTTATTATATATTTAGTCATCAATGTTCACCATATATTATGAGAGTTTGTAAACCAAACACGAAAGCAGACGCGCACGCCAACTTATCTTATGATGTATGACATACTACTAGCAATTTTTTATCATATTTCTGCCAAATTTTTTATTTTTAATATCATACCAACTACCAAAAGACTCAGTCATATAATTATTAAATTATAAAGAAATTAAAATAGTAGTTACCTTAAAGCGAGTTGAAAAGAAAACAGAGTATAGTCAATATGAAAGTTTCTTGGCAGCCGCTCATAGGCTATGCGAAAGGAATTATTCTAAAGCGAGTTGCATAATTAACCATGTGAGATTTTTGAAAAAAAAAAAAAAAAGTAGAGTATACTAATATTTTGGTGAGTAAGATCACAAGAGAATTGGAAAAATAATAAAGTCGTGCAGCCCACTTCAAGCATTTTAACAAAGGGGAAATGAATTAACATAGGCTGACATAACATGGCAATTTCTCCCCGTCATTAATTAATAGCAAATTTTTCACTCTGTTTGGCGCAGAGCATCAACAAGGGCATCCTTCAAGAAAGGGTTGGAAGCTGCTACTCGCTGAGATGTAATGTCAAAATCTGCACCAGACCTGAGCAAATGAACCATCAGACGCAAATATTAAATCTTTTAAACATATCACTAAACGTTTGTGTTTTATAGTTCCTTGTGAATAGCAAGGCCTGCCAATAGTGCAAAAAATTTGCCATATTTCATGTCCATCCAATAATGTCTAAATTATTTTCCACAAGATGAAGATTCATGCAAGTAGAACAATAGACTATGAACCTGAAGATGCAAATACTCAAGAATAACCAATTGTATTCTCTTGTTAAGAATAACGATATCTAATTAAAGTCACTTACGGATCAAATATAACACCTCCGGCTTCTCTTACAATGACAGCACCACCTGCCACATCCCTGATAAAAAGGAAGAGGCCGTGTCAATTACATATCACATTATTACAATGCCCGCCATTTATGCAGGATGTGAAACTCCTACCAAGGACCTCCAAAGCCGATTTCAAAGCATACATCCAGCCTTCCACATGCAATTCCGCAAAGGTTCAAAGCACAGGAGCCAGTCATTCGAAGGGATCTCACCTGATCATATTAACGACCTGGTTATGAAATGATCATATCAAACTCTAGTTCGATAGATTGCATGGAAAGTCCTGGTTTTACCTTGAAAAGTAAGCTATTAATCCTTTTTGTACAGACATCTACTGTTAACTTGTCACGTTTAGTTCCAGCCTGCTCTTTCAGAAGTAAAAAACTTGATGAATATCAAATCTATCTTGATTTAAAAGGCAACACATTTACAAGCGAACCTTATGTGAATGTGATTTGATATGTCTGGGTCATATACCATGTCAAGCTAGTATTTCATATATTACGGTAACTTATAAACTGGAGGGCTGGATTTGCGTGCAATTAATCACAATGGAGCAGGGACATAAAAGGCAAGTCAGTGGAATACAACTTAAAGCAGACTTGGTAATGACGAGTCACAAACTGCTATATAATCATATTTGCAATTCAGATATAATGTATCTGTTCGGGACGAGACTCAAAAGTGTTGGGGCAAAAGTTAGGACAGTGTATACAAGAGAGAATTAAGAGAAGCTATCAGGTTATTCAGGCAAGTTAGGAAGACAGTTAGTTAATTAGGATGGCGATTAGGTAGTAAGGTGGATAAATAGCAGAAATTGTACAGGAGGGGCATCTTTTGGAACATATTGTAACAGAGCACGTTGCTCAGTTGGAAAAGGGAACCTCCCTTGGAGGAGATCACTCTCCTTGATTCAAGAAACAGAAATAATAGAGAAGTCCTTTCTCTCTGTCCTCTGTTATCTGTATCTTGTGGCACTCAGTTTATCTTAGTTGAGTTAGTTCTTATCAATATCTCCTAGAAAACACAACTTTTCAAAAATTACTTTCTTATAATTTCTTCAACAAGTCGCAGTTATTACCTGAATAAAAGAAAATATTTATATTGTGTGCCTTTTTTTTTTTTTAGTAGGTATATTGTGTGCCTTTTAAGTTATGATTACAAAGGTTATTAAATGCATATATGGGGCATGTGCTTAAACTTTGGACTTTTGAGTGGCAAATAGCAATGGAAACATAAGGCTCTAATTTGCCTACGTCAGCAAGCTTTCAAAGCATATGAATATTGAGGAGTATACAAAGTTTATAAATCCAACGTGGTCAAGTTACAAATATAGAGAGTTTGAGCCTCTTTGCCACAAAAATTTTGTGTGTATAGTACATTATGTTGAAAAGGAGACTCTTCATCGAGGGTTGGTACTTCACCATTGCATTTAAAATTTGAAATTAAAGAGGAACCAGCAAAACCATTGATGCATGTCAAGGTACACACATTGATCCTATTTGGGGAAAAAAGTGAGTATCATGGTTTATATAGGTTCTGCAATGCAGTTCATGATGGAAGCTGGTATCTACTAAGAATAAAAAGTGTATAGATATCGAGAAGTTGTGTGAAATAAAAAAGAGAGTAAATACCCTTTTCGGTCCTTAGCAAATTTTACAATGCTCACTTTAGTCCCTAGCAAATAAAAAGACTATTTGTGGTCCCTAAAAAATTCAAAGTGTCTTTTTTGAATTTCTTGAGACTACAAATAGCCTTTTTATTTGCTAGGGACTAAAGTGGGCATCGTAAAATTTGTTGAGGACTAAAAAAGGTATTTACTCTAAAAAAAAATACCTGATTCTGACACTCGAGTTAAAAGTTATGGCCTTCCGAAGTCTTATGGTAAAAACTATTGACTTTTACTGCTACGTGTCATCACCGGGTGCTACGTGTCATCACTAGGTGAGTTGTGCCCAATAATGTGCCTTATTTGGGCGCGACTGATTGCTATAGATCTGTAAATTGGTTCCAAATTGCTAAATTTTCGTAATTTTTTATTTAAATAATAATATTTTGATTTTTTTCCCCAGATAGAGGGAAATCCGAATCAACCTTATGAGAGGGGTAAAGTTTCTTGAGATGATTAAATATGAGCTCTTCACATGCTTTATCAGTTTCAGTGACCAAATCAACCTGTGCATCACAACAAAAGTAAAAGACAGTAAGTAAAACAACTATATCTTTCGTCATTTATAAACGGCGGTAATGGCCGTATTTTGCTTCTGCCCACCACCCACTTGAAATTTATTTTGCAAGAATAGAGAAAAAGAGAAAGTAACCCAAACTGGTGACATATTCTTCTCCAACATAAACACATCATATTGGTTGCCTACTGAGCTTTTGATAAATTTAGTCAGACATTAGACCGAATTGAAAAGCAATATCATTAACCGGTGGTGGCTCCATATTGGTGGTGAACTGTTTATTCCCCTAGATGTACATGTTATGTATGGACCACTTACTTATGACATGAACTATAACGCTGATAATGATAATAATACTCATGATAATAATAATAATAATGATGATGATGAAAAAGCAATTGAAAGAAATGAAGCCAGAAATGGAAAAGAAAAGAGAGTTGCGTTTGGAAGTATGTATGTATAAGGACTAAGGAGAGAAAGAGAGAGGGAATGAAATGGAAACCTGTCCTTTGTGCTCCACGTGCTTGGTCTCGTAGAAACCTTTTCGAATAATCTGAAGTGAAAGCATTTCACGCACAAAATCGATAAAATAAAAAGAAACGAAGAGACAGAGAGAGTGGAGTGGGAAAGAACGGAGATTAGAGAATTAACTAACCTCACCGGCCTTGTGAGCAGCATCGACTGCAGATGCGAGGAATTCGGAGAGAGAATCTGTATTTGCAATGAAAACGAAATGATTAAGATGCCATTTAACATATCCCAATTCCCAAAGCAAGGTAATCGGCTTCTACTCCTACTCCTATTCCTACCATTATCACCCATTTTTCTTTTTGGCAGAACTCCAAGCACACACCCTGCTCTTTCACACTTATTCCTCCCAGTGTCCAAGTTAAATAAATATCATCATACCATATTGGCTTCTATTTCCTTTTCTTACTTTTTGGATTTTATTTTATACAAACCTAAAATTGCCCCTTAAATTGTTCCTCAGGTTCAATTTTTATTTTTATTTTTTTAAAAAAATCATATTATATATATTACTTACGGTATTATTCCCTTTCCCAATTGATAAAAGTAGAGGATGAAATTGTAGCATCAACGATACAGCCTACAGGTCGTTCTTTCTGCATTTTTGTTTTATATATCGATGCCATATGTTAGAAGCAAATCTCTATTTAATAATAGGGATTAATTCTTTTGAATTTGCATGAGATAATTTTATTTTATATGTATATATATATATATATATATATATGTGTGTGAATATTATGTAGAGCCATATGAAGAAGAGAAAAAAAATATAAATTTTATATAATTTTATATACATATAAAAAATAAAATTATCTAATACAAAATCAGAAATATTTATTCCTCCATAATAAGGGAAATACAAACATTATATTACAGTAGTAATGATAAAACTAGAAGTAGTAAATGGAGGGGTATAGTAGTCCTTGGATCAGTGAGCCTTTAAGGCAAGAGCATAAAGAGGGAAATGTGCATGGAATATGCCGAGACAAGATGCTTGTGCGTTGTTCCGGTACTGTACTGTTACTACTGTACCTGAGCTGATTGATACACTTTAGGTTCACTTGGGACTGTGGTAAGTGGTAACTCGCATCAAATCGTGCATTAAAAATATATTTTAAGTACTACTTAAGATAGAAAAAGTAACTTATATAGCACTATTTATTCTGTCATTCTTTTATGATTAATGTAACGTGAATCCCCCTTTCATAACTTACAATCACAGAAGCTTCGTAGATGCCTATCCGGAACCTAATTCTTCTATTTAAATAAATTTTTAGTGAATTAGATGCATAAAAAATTCAGTATATTTATTCATTTATTTTATAATATGTGTATAAAAAATATCACATTATTTTTTGTTTCCAAATAATATGATATTTTATGCACTTAAGATTTAGAGTAAATATCATTTTCGGTCCTCAGCAAATTTTGCGATACCCGTTTTAGTTTCTAACAAATAAAAAGACTATTCGTGATCCCTAATAGTTGATTCACTAAAACAAAAATGTGAAATTTGCTGAGGTTTCAGTGCATATCAAATTCAATCCCATATTACCAACATACCCCCGTAAAAAGGGAAGATGGTTGGGTCTATAATGGCTCGAGTACTATTGTTTTGTTTGATTAACTTGTCAGCCACAAGCGAAGTAGGTCTTTCCCTGAATTTTGTTGCAAAAGGAAGAAGAAGAAAGGCATACACAATCCTTGGATTGAATAATAGCCAATTATATGGTCAAAAGTAGGAAGCTGAGCCTGAGGTGAAATAGGAATCCCATTTTAAATCAACAATTAGGAAATAATAGTTTTTGGACCCCATTAAGCCTGTGAAATGCAGAGACTTCAACTATTCTTTTCAAAATTGTCTCACAAAATTTCAGAAACTATCGCAATCTTTTTTTATTCTAAAATATATCTGAATCGAAATCACCGTTGAATAAATCCTTAGAATCTGTCCTCCATTCTCCATAACCCAAGGAAAACATCAACCTACTCATCTTAGATGAACTTCGCCTGAGAACACAAAAGTTCTAATTCACCTATAGAACAGCTTCACTGCATGCAGAGGTTGCATGGCATTGCTGTCGTTTTGGAAGCTTACACATGGATCATTGTCTTGAATAGGAGGGGGTCAGAGAAAGAGATATCGCAATTCATCGATGGAGCAAATGGTGTTAGGGAAAAAGATTTCTCATGAGAAATCTTCTCTTCTACCACTCTCACTTTAATATCTGTGCAAATCACTTTTCTATTTTTTATTTTTTCTTTAAAGTGGGTCCCACCTCTTTCTCTCTCTGTAGGAAAATTTGCATTTCTCATGCAACATGAGAAATTGCAAGCCCATGGTGTTAATGGGTATATGCCTATATGCAAAGGCGGATCTAGGTACAAGAGAAGGGGAAAATGCTCACCCTTAAAATTTGATATAAAAATACAAAAATATCCTTATGTTAAAATTCAAATTTTTCCAATTTTATTTCGGGATAGTATATTATAACAACAAATTATATGATTATTACAAATGTTACTATCAATCAATTTCACCATTAGATCAATTATGTTGATCTAACGGTTATATTTATTTTCATCGTTGTATGGTTATGATTCTCTATATTTAATACTTTTTATTTATTTTCACCTTTGTATGGTTATAATTTCCCATATTTAATGTTTTTACATTAAATATTGAGATCATAACCATATAAATATGAAAATAAATATAACTTTGTATCAACATAATCGATCTAACGGTGAAATTGATTGGTAATAACCCTAGTTGGTTGTTACGATATCCTACCCCTTTAATTTCCCTCCTATTTTATTTTCCCGTGAGTTATTTTTTTCTCCCCCACTTTCATTATCCAAACCTAACAGCAGAGAGCTCTATTCCAGACCTATTATTTACATCTACATACTGATTTATCTTCTCTCAAATCTCAATTTCTGTTATTGGAAGTTAGAACATTTGTTTCTTCTTCCATCATCTGTCTAGTTGAGTTACAGACCCAGTCGGCAGCTGCTCGCAAGTCGCGTTCCAGACCAAGCCTAGATCTATATGTACTTAACTTATTAAGTGTTCACCCTTCATTAATTTTCTGGATCCGTCACTGCGTGCCTATATGGTTCTAGGCCACGTCAGGTGTAGGATGCGTAACCACATTTTGCTTTTTTGTTATTCCTTACTCCGGTCCACGTCCATTTTGTTGTTCAACCCCCATTTTATATATTTTCTTATGGGGAAATAATTTGCTAATGTAATTTATATCTTTTAGTAATTTATAATTATATACTAAGGTAATACATAATTTTTTAGGACATTCTTTCATAGGATAGTGTGACTTTAAGCGGTGTAATTTTCTCCATACTACTACAGAGTATACGTTGTATCGGTTTCTATTTCTTCATATTTGTATTGATTATTTACTTACATCTTACTCTTTCTAAACATACCTTTGAGTTATCTTTATTGCGTTCTCTGGGAGCAACCTTCCTATTTCTTTCTTTGGCTTGGAGCAAAACAAAAGATCGAGATGTTTACTATGAAATTTTGGCATCAAAGTACTTCCAAAAACAACTAATAATTTGTAGCAATTTAAATTTCTTTCCGGAACATAGAATCAATGTTCTAAAGATTAAACTAGAAACCAAAATGCAAGAGTTATAATAATAATTCAATTGGTCCAGTTGACTAACTTGATTGTTCAACCAGAATTGAACCAAGCGCCGTAATATGGAATAACCGAAACTGAAATATAACCAATTTATGGTCTAACTGATTTAATCAATCGTTCCAATCCAATTTATTAGACTTTGCCTAGACTCCAACAAGAGTATGATTAGTAAATAAGAGTTTAAACATTGAAGGGTACAGCTTACGAGCTTAGGTTCACTGATTAATGGTTGGTACATTTAGGTGAACATTGACCCATCCTCCATTAGAGTAGACTTGGTCATAAAGGAATGCATTGCATTATCTATCTTTACCATTTTTTCCCTCGCCATTCACCAAAGAAATCGGATTGTTTAATTCTCTGTTCCTCTCTCTGCAATATTCCCATTCCGTTCAAACTTTGCTTCTCTGATCCATATCAATCATTTTATTGTTAAGAATCGCGTAGGGGAGCCCAAAATCATTTACAAATGATATCTTCATCAATGGCCAAATGAAAAATCATAAGTGAACTGACACTATATCTCAACCCAAAACATTAAGGCTCAAGTTGTATGGGTCATTTTTGCACTTAAATGCTCACTTGAAACATTCCCAAAACGTGATTATTTCTAATATCTTCCTCTTAAGTATGAGGCCCAACATCATGCTCAAATGATATAATTATTAAATGGATAAGAGCCCAAAACCTTTTACAAAAGATACCTCCAGCAAAAATGAAAAATCATAATAAATGAAATAACACGTCATGTCAACCCAAATCTTTAAGACTCAAGTTGTATGAATTTTTTTTACACTTATATGATACTCACTTAAAACATTTTTAATGGATGTAAAACTTTGTCAGTAGTCACACTTCATTATTTCTAACATTTATTCTATATTTAGTCACCAATGTTCACCATACATCAGGAGAGTTTGCAAACCAAACACGAAAGCAGACGCACGCCAACTCATTTTATGATGTATGACATACTACTTGCTAATTTTATCACAATTCTGCTAAATTTTTTATTTTTAAAGATCATACCAACTACCAAAAGACAGTCATATAATTATTAAATTATAAGAAATTAAAATAGTAGTTTCCATATAGGAAATTATAAGAAAAGAAACAGAGCATGGTCAATATGAAAGTTTCTCGGTAGCCGCTCATAGGGTATTGCGAATGGAACTATTCTAAAGCGAGTTGCATAATTAACCATGTGAGAATTTTGAAAAAATAAAATAAAATAAATTAGAGTATACTAATATTTTGGTGAGTAAGATCACAAAAGAATTAGAAAAATAATTAAAGTCATACATCCCACTTCAATTATTTTAACAAAGATAAAGTTATATTTACAAACTTTTTGTTTACAACCTCTTACAAATTATATTATGTCTGACTGATTATACTTCAATCAAGAATATATGACCACTCATACTCAGTGTAATTTAAAAAAAAATATATATATATATATATATATATATATATATAAATGAATCCTTCCCCTTTTAACAAAGAGGAAATTAATTAACATAGGCCGAAATAACATGGCAACTTCTCCCCGTCATTAATTAATAGCAATTTTTTCACTCTGTTTGGCGCAGAGCATCAACAAGGGCATCCTTCAAGAAAGGGTTGGAAGCTGCTACTCGCTGAGATGTAACGTCAAAATCTGCACCAGACCTGAAGCAAATGAACCATCAGATTTGTTTGTTTTATAGTTCCTTGTGAATAGTAGTGCATAAAAATTTGCCATATTTCATGTCCATCCAACTATGTCTAAATAATTTTCCACAAGATGAAGATCCATGGAAGTAGTACAGTAGACTATGTACCTGAAGATGCAAACACTCTAGAACAACCTATCGTATTCTCTTGTTAGAATAAGGGTGTCTAATTAATGTCACTTACGGATCAAATATAACACCTCCAGCTTCTCTTACAATGACAGCACCACCCGCCACATCCCTAATAAAAAGGAAAAGGCAATGTCAATCACATATCACATTATTACAATGCCCGCCATTTAAGCAGAATGTGAAACTCATACCAAGGACCTCCAAAGCCGATTTGAAAGCATACATCCAGCCTCCCACATGCAATTCCGCAAAGGTTCAAAGCACAGGAGCCAGTCATTCGAAGGGATCTCACCTGATCATATTGAAGACATGGTTATGGCATGGTCATATCAAACTTTGGTTCGACAGATTGCATGAAAAGTCCTGGTTTTACCTTGAAAAGTAAGCTATTAATCCTTTTTGTACAGACATCTACTGTTAACTTGTCACGTTTAGTTCCAGCCTGCTCTTTCAGAAGAAAAAAACTTGATGAATTTCAAATCTATCTTGATTTAAAAGGCAACGCATTTACGAGAGAACCTTATATGAATGTGATTTGATATGTCTGGGTCATCCCATGTCAAGTTAGTATTCCATAAATTACGGTAACTTCCAAACTGGAGGGCTGGATTTGCATGCAATTAATCACAATGGTGCACGGACAAAAAAGGCAAGTCAGTGGGGATACAACTTAAAGCAGAGTTAGTAATGGCGAGTCACAAACTGCTAAACAATCATATTTGCAATTCAGATATAATGTATCTGTATGGGACGAGACTCAAAAGTCTAGGGGCAAAAGTTGGGACAGTGTATATAAGAGAGAATTAAGAGAAGCTATCAGGTTATTTAGGTAAGTTAGGAAGACAGTTAGTTAATTAGGAATATGTATTAGGTAGTTAAGTGGATACAACCACTCTCCATCAAACCCTGACTAGTGAGGGTGGAATGAGGACAATCCTTGTATGCTGCCTTAACCTTCCATAATTGCAAAGAGGTTGTTTCTCAGATTTAAACTCGTGACCTTTCAGTTACAAAGGAACAGTTTTACTACTGCTCTAGGCTCGCCCTCTTTAGATAGTTAAGTGGATAAATACCAGAAATTGTACAGGAGGGGCATCTTTTGGAACATATTATAACAGAGCACGTTGCCCAGTTGGAAAAGGGAACTTCCCTTGGAGGAGATCACTCTCCTTGATTCAAGAAACAGAAATAATAGAGAAGTCCTTTCTGTCCGTCCTCTGTTCTCTGTATCTTGTGGCACTCAGTTTATCTTAGTTGAGTTAGTTCTTACCATTATCTCCTAGAAAACACAACTTTTCCAAATTACTTTCTCATAATTTCTTCAACAAGTCGCAGTTATTACCTGAATAAAAGGAACATGAATATTCTGTGCCTTTTAAGTTTGCACAAGCTCATGATTACAAAGGTTATTAAATGCATATATGGGGCATGTGCTTAAACTTTGGACTATTTGAGTGGCAAATAGGAATGGAAACATAAGGCTCTAATTTGCCTACCTCAGCATGCCTTCAAAGCATATAAATATTGAGGAGTCTACAAAATTTATAAATCCAACGTGGTCAAGTTACAAATATAGAGAGTTCGAGCCTCTTTCCCAAACAAATTTTGTGAGTATAGTAAATTTTGTTGAAAAGGAGACTCTTCATGGAGGGTTGCTACTTCACCATTGCGTTTGAAATTTGAAATTAAAGAAGAACCAACAAAACCATTGATGCATGTCAAGGTACACACAGTGATCCTATTTGGGGCAAAAAGTGAGTATCATGGTTTATTTAGGTTCTGCAATACAGTTCATGATGGAAGTTGCTATTTACTAAGAATAAAAATGTAATACAACTATAGATGCAGACACTAAATGTTAGAGAATAATATAAATTATTAAAAAAACCTTCACCCAAAGCCTTAAGGTTTAGGGTTGCAATGATTCTTTACATGGTATTAAAGCTTCAGTGACCATAAGGTCACGAGTTCGATCCTCACTGCCCCCCACTTGCGGAATTAAATAAATATAAGATAAAATCCAAAAAAAAAATTGAATCTATGCAATATTCGCGTTTCAAGCCTAAAGGACTTTTATGTGAAGGGATGTGTTAGAAAATAATATAAACCATTAAAAAGACCTTCACCCAAAGCCTTAAGGTTTTGGGTTGAAATAATTCTTTACAGTAAGTCTTATATATGCGTTGAATAAGCTGTCAAGTTATGGTTAGAATCGCATACTTAATAGAAAGAGAAAGCCAATGAATATATATAAGTAGAATTGGGTGCTTATATTGAATACAAGACATAAGCCAGGTTTCTTACCGTACATGTAGTTGGTATGCAGCTATTAGCCATTGATAATTTGGAGAAAATTATTGTCCCAACTTAATTTTAAAAAATGCACAATAAGGGGAGGGAGAAGAATACACTATATTTATGCAAACAAAATGATAAATAAATAGCTTTCACATAATTGACATACCTCATTTGCAAGAAGAGAGCTCATTAGTTCAGTTTGTGATGATACTGCAAAATCTCAAGGCATATCCATGAGGTAACCAAACTCAAATTAACAATAACAATCAAAAGGCAGAGAATAGAAGACACACCTTTTATACGGTTACCGTTCAAAAAAGCACCTTTACCACGAATTCCAGTGAAAAGCTACATAAGGCAATCTCAAATTTCAGTGTGCGTAGTAAGAAAGGGAGGAAAATAAGTAAAAATAATACACCTCTCCGTACCAATATTACTATAGAAACACAAACTGTCATATTCCCAAATTAGTTACTTTACTAATAGAAACATAAATTATAGACTGTCATATTCCTAAATAAATTACTTCAATGTCGCTTCCCTTAATCAGGCCATTTTGGTTACATCAAGGTCACTGAAAATAGTGATTATAAAAGAAGAGAACAGGTCAATTGACTACTTTTTGCCTACGATATTCATTCTTGCCCTGGTTCTACATTTGCACGGTAACCAAAAACAAAAAACAATATGTTATAATATCTTAGGAGATATCATGTATATATTGCAGAATCAGTTCAGAACCAAAGTAGGATTATGTGTATAATTAGGATTGAAGGCGAGTCTTGGGGCAGTGGTAAGGTTGCTCCTTTATGACCAAAAAGTCACAAGTTTGAGTCTAGGAAAATGTCTCTTTACGTGCAAGGATAAGATTGCACACAATCGATCATCACCTCTACCCTCGCAAAGTCGGAGAGCCTTTATGCACGGAGGTTTGCCCTTTTTATATAATTAGGATTATATATATCAGGGATAGAATCATTATAATCAATATCAACACTAATGTATGTTATAAACTTCAGAAAATTTTCAATGTTTTTGTGGTCACAACTTATAACACATCTACCAAACACCCTTGGCACAAATGGTATAGAGTCTGGGCCCTTTAACCAGAGGTCTCAAGTTCAAGCCCTGGGAAAGGAAAAAAGAACTTGGGAGAGCTGCCCCGTTTAATAAGGTCCGAAAAATGCTAGAACCGGACGTAGTCCGAAGGATGAACCGTTTGGGAAATTAAATGAAAAAAAAAAAACTTATAACACATCTATAGAAGGAAAGATTCTCACCTCATTAATTATTGGGTTGTAAACAACACCAACGGTAGGAATTTTTCCAATTGTTAGACCAATGGAGACACAAACAAAGGGGAACCTAGAAAAAGTAGAACTATGGTCAATCAATCTGGAAATGAGTGTTTTAATTAAAACATCAGAACAAAAGTTACCCATGCACGAAATTAGTAGTTCCATCCAGAGGATCAACTATCCATGTGGGTTCATCTGTTAGTTCTGTAGTGCCAAAAGCAGCTGTAGTTTCTTCCCCAATGAACTAATAAGAAAATCAACTTAAAATAACCTTAAGGAAATGTATACAGGCAAAGAAGAGAAAAAAGCCACCCAACTGACCAACTTTATCTTGATTATATGTAAAGCTGATAAGTTTGAGGGAAAGCTGAATCAACCTTATGAGTGGGGTAGAGTTTCTTGAGATGATTAAATATGAGCTCTTCACATGCTTTATCAGTTTCAGTGACCAAATCAACCTGTGCATCACAACAAAAGTAAAAGACAGTAAGTAAAACAGCTATATCTTTCGTCATTTATAAACAGCGGAAATGGCCGTATTTTGCTTCTGTCCACCACCCACTTGAAATTTATTTTGCAAGAATAGAGAAAAAGAGAAAGTAACCCAAACTTGTGACATATTCTTCTCCAACATAAACACATCATATTGGTTGCCTACTGAGCTTTTGATAATTTTAGTCAGACATTAGTGCGAATTGAAAAGCAATATCATTAACCGGTGGTGGCTCCATATTGGTGGTGAACTGTTTATTCCCCTAGATGTTCAAGTTATGTATGGACTACTTACTACTTACTCATGACATGAACTGTAACGCTGATAATGATAATAATACTCATAATAATAATAATGATGATGATGAAAAAGCAATTGAAAGAAATGAAGCCAGAAACGGAAAAGAAAAGAGAGTTGCGTTTGTATGTAAGTATGTATAAGGACTAAGGAGAGAAAGAGAGAGGGAATGAAATGGAATGGAAACCTGTCCTTTGTGCTCCACGTGCTTGGTCTCGTAGAAACCTTTTCGAATAATCTGGAGTGAAAGCATTTCACGCACAAAATCGATAAAATAAAAAGAAACGAAGAGACAGAGAGAGTGGAGTGGGAAAGAACGGAGATTAGAGAATTAACTGACCTCACCAGCCTTGTGAGCAGCGTCGACTGCAGATGCGAGGAATTCGGAGAGAGAATCTGTATTTGCAATGAAAACGAAATGATTAAGATCCCATTTAACATATCCCAAAGCAAGGTAATCGGCTTCTACTCCTATTCCTATTCCTACCATTATCACCCATTTTCTTTTTGGCAGTGAGAGACTGAGAACTCTAAGCACACAGCCTGCTCTTTCACACTTATTCCTCCCAGTGTCCAAGTTAAATAAGTAACCATATTGGCTTCTATTTCCTTTTCTTACTTTTGGGATTTTATTTTATGGATAAAGTGTGTGTAATTCTAAAGGATCTAAAGTTAAAGTTGTGTTATTCTAAGAGGAAGAGATAGATAAAAGAGGAGAGAGAGTTGATAAAAAAAAATAAAGGTGTGGGTCCTACCTTTTTGTGAGAGTGAAAGGATATAAGTTGTGTTATTTAAAAAGATAAACATTTTTCTCTTATTTTATACAAACCCAAATTTGCCCTTTAAATTGTTCCTCAGGCTCGCTTTATTTTCTTGGAAGAGTGACTAAAATGTCATGTTTTGTCAAAAATTTTATCCAAATGCTACGCGAACACTGTTTTTTACCAGACTGCCACGTGTTATAATTCCCTACCACCGGTAGCGAATTTCGTGGCCAATAATTTTGTGACATGTGGTCATATTGCAGACCAAATTCGCTACCAGTAATAGAGAATTATAACACGTCAGCTTTTTCCTGCGAAAGTGTGCCACGTGTCAAAAAATCATTCGCGAACATAATATGCTACACAGCGAATTACAACCTGCTTGACACGTGTCATTTTTACTGACTGTGCATTCTGACGTGGCATAATTCGCTACACTGTGTAGCGAAATATGCTTGCAAATAATTCGCTACACAGTGTAACGAATTATCCCACGTGACATTCTAGAAAAATTTATTGTTGGCATGACAGTCTGATAATTTTTTTGGCCAAACGTGACAAAATGGTCATTGTTACTATTTTCTTAAATCATTCTATATATTACGTACGGTATTAGTCACTCACCCAAGCCTACATGTCGTTCTTTTTGCATTATTATTTTATAGAGTAATATAAGTTAAGTTTATAAAAATATATATATAAATATAACATAGCTTTATTTTATAAGTGACATAAGTTAATATTCTAATTACTAAAAACTCTTACTACCCATCACATCACCATTGGATCAAATAGAAAAAATATTAAAATATTTTTGAAGAGATAAAAAATATTAATCTAATGGTGATTAGATAGGTAGTAAATTAATAGTGAAAAATTTTAATAATTAAAATATGATTCCTCTAAATTAAGAAGAAAATTAGAAGTAGTGAATGGAGGGGTATACTAGTCAAGGGAAGAGTATACAGAGCGAAATGGGCATGGAATATGCCGAGACAAGATGCTTGTGCCTTGTTCCGGTACTGTATTGTACTGTGCCTGACCTGATTGATACACGTTGGTTTCACCCGGGAGTGGTGACTTGTAAATTTTCTCCACTTAGATTTTGTTTGGGAGTTTGAAGGGGAGGGGAAGGAAGGAAATCCAAGAGCGAGGGAGGAGAAGGAAAGGGAAGAAATTGGAGGGTATTCCCTTTCCTAGTTTGGGAGTCAAAAAAATAGAATGGAAGGATAATGGAGGTTCAATGAGATATTTTTACCATTTTATCTTTTTTTTTAAATTAATATAATTATTATACTTTACAAATTAAATTAAATATAAAATTTTTAACAAAATTATTTATGTATTTTTCACAACACCAAAAAAGATCATACTTTTTATGAAATTTAAACGTTGCAAACGATGAAAAATTCGTCAAAAAATTATTTTTTCGAAACAATTCTTTTCGTCGAAAAGCAACAGAATTTTTCAACCAATAAATTTTTTTACAAAAATAGATTTTCGACGAAATTTAGTTTCCATCAAAAGTTTTGACGAAAATGATTTTCACTATCAAATATTTTAAATGAAAAAACAATGCCATCAAAAATTTTGACGGAACGTTTTCCGTTCAAAATTTCGATGGAAATGTGTTGTAACAAAATTTTTGACAGAAATTGTTTTGTCAAAAATTTTGAAGGAAATGTTTCATTCGAAACTTTCGACGAAATTTAGATACTATAAAGAATTTTGACAGAATATTTTTCTGACAAAATTTCTTGTCGAAATAATTTTCGTCAAAAATTTTTACAAAAATATTTTCTGTCAAAATTTTTTGACAGAAATGCATTCCGTTGAAAATCTTGATGTAAATATTTTTTATCAAAAAACTTGACGAAAATATTTTTCGTCGAAAATTTTCGATGGAAATGTGTTTTGTTAAAATTTTCGACAGAAATTTTTTTTTGCCAAAAAAGTTTAACGAAAATATTTTCGTCGAAAACTTTCGGCAGAATTTAAATTCTGTTAAGAATTTTGATGAAATATTTTTTCGTCAACAATTTTCGATAGAAATGTGTTTCGTTGAAATTTTTGATGGAAATATTTTTCGTCAAAAAATTTGATAAATATGTTTTTTTGTGAAATATTTTGGCAAGATTTAGATTCCGTAAAGAAATTTGACAAAAAAAAATCCGTCAAAATTTTTTGCGAAAAATTTTGGTGGAAATAGTTTTCGTAAAAAAATTTGACGTGATTGTTTTACTTTAAAACTTTTCGTTAGAAATGTGTTTCGTCAAAATTTTGGACGGAAATATTTTCGTTAAAAATTTCGACGAAATTTAGTTTCTATCAATAATTTTGACCGAATTTTTTTCCGTATAAAATTTATGTTAGTGATTATGGCAAAATTTGTTTCCGTCTCTAATTTAGTCTTTAGTTTTGACGGAAATTTTTTGACATAAATGATTTTCATCACTATTTTTGACGAAAAAAATTTCGTCAATAAATTATGTTGGTATTTGAAACTTTTCTAATAATATCGCATTTAAAGATGATTCACAATTATGTAGTTTTAACATGTTAATGCTAAGGATAGATAAGTAATTTTTTATATTTCTCCCCTCAAACCCTCCAAATTGGAGGAACTTGAATTTTAAGAAGAAGGAGGATTTTGGAGGGTTTAATAAAAAAAAACCCAATTCCTTCCTTTCCTTTTTTTAAACTCAGAAACAAGGAAAGAGCTTCTTAAAATTCTCTTTTCCCATCTCTTCTCCTCCTAAAACCATCTCCCAGACAAAGTCTTAGTGAAGCTTGGTACATTCCTATTGGGAACCCAATTCTTCTATCTCAGTCTCACCACGAGGAAATATCCTCTGTTCCTCAAGTACAATGCTTCTGGTGTATATCAACGGAACCTACTTCTTCTATCTCAATTGTCCACCGACAAATTAAAGGTGACAATAGAGAAAACGTCACAATATAACGTTATCGTTGATTTGGCTATAATCTGCTCAGATTGTCTCAGGTAAAGTCATTTGAATACATTCCCATATACCAACATAACCCCGTAAAAGGGAAGATGGTTGGGACCATTTTGGCTCGTGCCCTATTCTTTTGTTAGTTTAATGAAGCTTCCAGTCAGCCACAAGGGAAGAAGGCCTTTCCCTGAATTTTTTTACAAAAGGAAGAAAAAAGCATGTTGTGTATTCCTTGGATTGAATAATAGGCAATTATATAGTCCAAAGTAGGGAGCTGAGGTGATTATCCCATTCGAACTCCGCTGGACTTACCTTTGGTTGAGAGGGAAAACAATAAGGAAGGATATAAAATTTTAATATTACAAAGACGGGAAAAAATAAAAATATAAAATAGAATTGTCTCTATTTTTCCTCTAAACCCAAAAAATGTTAAAGCAAGGAGGGACGAAACCCCTTATTTCAGCCATATATGTATATAAAGAAAAATACATTTTTGGGGAGCTGAACTAGGTATCCCATTTTGAATCAACAAGACAACTGTATTAAGAAATTAATAGTTTGTGGACGCCGTCAAGCCTGTGCAGTGCAGAGACTTCAACTGTTCTTTCGATTACAGTCCTCAAGAAGAACTGTTCTGCAACGATCAACCCAGCCGTTGGGCAAGGGCTTGGAGTTCTCACTCCCGACTCCTTGGGTCAATTTATAACTTTAAAAAATTGTCTCACAAAATTCCACAAACGATGGCAATCTTTTTTTTCATTTTCTAAAATATATCAGAATCGAAATCTCAGTTAAATATATCCTTTGAATCTGTCCTCCATTCTCCACAACCCAAGGGAAACATCAACCTGTTCATCTTAAATGAACTTCGCGTGATAACACAAGATTTCTAATTCACCTATAGAACAGCTGCACTGCATGCAGACGCTTCACGGTACAAGACAAAAAGCTTCAATAAAAAATGTACGCTCAAGGACCAGAACTGGTTAGAGGAAAGCAGCTAGTTTAAACTGACTACTGTACAGAAACACAAGTTGCACTGCAGAAGACCATCATACAGAAGTAACAGATCAAATTAGTCATACAAATTGCAGATGATCAGAATATACTGCTACTGTATGTAGCTCATTTCAGCAGTTTATTTATCTACTAATTTACAGAATCCAAATAGAATTACAGAAGGGAAATATATAAATTTGAGGGAAATGTTAGTGTCATCTTGATGAAGACTAAAAGAACTATAAAAATAGACAATTAAATAAAGTAAAATGCCGGAATGCAACTTGCTACTTGACACAATCTCAAGCTCAAGGGCGGTCCTTAGGTTCAAGAGCAGCAATTTCCTTCATAACTTGAGTTTTGTCAGCTTCAAACTGTTCATCCTCTGCACAATCCCATGAAATATGTGATATTTGATACCATAAAAACAAGCACAAACCCTTAAGAAATAACATCACCTCCTTACCTTTATCCATTTTCAAGTCACCCAATAGTCTCAGAAGCTTGCTTCTGTTTGCAACAAGTATGCTGATGATATCAGCAGGTTTATTTTGGTTAGCAGCAAATAGCTGTTATGACAAGCACACATCAATATGGGGAAGCAAAATTTGGGAGGCATAAAGTCAAAATAACCATTCCAAAATTTGTGCTATTATGTAATTATAGTACCTTGAAAACATGAAATGCTTCTATCTGTATGCTTTTGCTTGACTCCTGCAGAAAGATATCAGCACTGACCCATTAAATGCCTGTGTAAACATATATCTAATTTCCGAACTTTCTGTTCAACATTAAATTTATGCTCATCAGAAACTCAATATTCAACATATCAGTGTTTAGTAATCCTTATGCTTAGACAGGGCTGGAAGCCTGGAACTGTAACAACTAACAACAGGGGCGAGGCCTAAGTATTTTCACAAAACCAGTACATTTTCCAGCGCTGAAAACAGCAATTTCATAGTTCTTCATCATTGATGCACAAGTATTAGAAGTTCATATAATCATTTTTTTTTTCTTTTTTTGGTCGGGAGGAGCAGGAGGGAAAGCAAGTCACAAGACATATCACAAAGTTTTACAAAAAGGACCATACTCTAAGAAGATTCATTGAAATCCTCAAGTTGTCTCTTGAGCTGACATATCGTGTCATTACAGCTGAATTTGAGCGATCGAGCAACATATCCCCCAACAACTGTAAAAGAGAAAGAAACACACTCAACAAATATGTGCATCAAATCAACAAGAAAAGAAACAAATTAATAAAAACATCAATAATAGGGCATTGACTTGCAATAGCATAGGACTGCAAAGACTAATTAACCTAATTTCAGCAGGTGAAAAAAACAAGACAATCATTGCAACAGCAAGGTAATTGTTGACCACTTGTAATGGCTTGTTTATTTTTCACCTTTTAGGTCAAATAAACTCAATCGTACTATAAAGTAAACAAACAAGCAAAATTTTATTAAAACAACTTCAAGAGGAGAAGCTCTGAAACCAATACATCTGCATGTTTGCTTCATCCATTATTCTTACAATGGAAATAAATGCCAAAACTTATATCATACCCTGACAGCTTGTCGCCTTGTAATATAATTGGAAGATTCCAACAGCTTAGAGTTATATTCATCAAAAAACTGCAATAAGCAACAACAAAGACAGCCGATGATGGTTGGTAACTGACATATAATGACAATTACAAAAGCCAATATAAAATATAATACATCAAGATAAACCGATAGCCACAAGAGTAAAACATACGCAAGTAACAGAAAATTTCCAAAAGAAATATATTAAAAAGGGGTGATTTTAAACATAATTCCAAGAACATGGTGAATAAACACACTTGTGTGGTACTGGTTAATAGTCAATAAAAAAGTGGTTATTTATTACAAGTCCGACTAAATAGAAAATGTGCCCATCCACCTTATCCTTGGAAATAAGTTTTGATCCACCACAATTTATTAAATTATTTTTCAAAGTGCAATGTTTTAATCAATGAAAGCGAAGAAACAAAAAAGATAGATTTATTTGGAGACCATCACAACCAAGAATGAAAGGATTAAAATAATAGTCAGAACTATATTATAAAATTATCTTTCTCAGAACACATTTTATAGCAGATAATCAGAAGCAATATCAATCCAAGAGTCATTACAGAACTGAAATCATAATCTAACTGTGACCCCATCAGCACCAAGCTACAAACTATACGGAAAGAACCTTTACCAATCAAGCATACCACCCATGCTAGCAAGAGAATGGCAGGTTAGGACAAAAAATGGAATGTCCATAGACAAGTATATAAATTAAAAAATCATCAGTTTTCTACTTAATTGAGACTGGAAGGGGAGCCTACCCATTCATAATTCTTAGAAAGGAATTCAGATACAGTAGATTTATGTCTTGTCATGAGTTCCTGCAGCAAAATGACATGATGTAACATCCAACAATGTTTAAAAAATGTGCATGGCATCAACAACTAAAAATTACCTTAAAAGTTGCTGCAGCATCTGCGGCTATGTCAAAATTTGGAAGTTGAATGTAGTCAAAAAACCTCTTCATATGAGGCGAGTCCAAAACATATCTGATACAAAACTAAGAATTACAGCATCACAACTCATAAAGTTGTGCTAGAAAGAAATATCATACCTAGGCCATTTTTTATTTTTCTACATCTATCTATGGTTGAGTTTTTTTTAAGAGCTTGGTACACTCCCTTCTCATTTGCCAATTAAAATAAATCTCAGAGGTAAAACTGTATGGAACTATAGGAATCAAAAGCATTAAATCACAAAAATGAAATTATCAGCTCCTTTTTCCTTACTTTGCAACAATCTGGTGTCTTATGCACTCCCTCAACATTGCACCATAGTGTAAAGCCATGTCTGTGCCTTCATAGCTAAAAACAAACAATGATCAATCAATAGCATGCTAGAATCAATATCATGGAAAACATAATTTCACAAAAAGCACTTAAGAAACAGATGTCACATGCTTATAGGAAGATATGAACATGACATGAATAATTTTCACCTAAAATACACAAAATTTGTCAATCAAGAGCAATTTTTTCACCATGACTAATTCAGAGACATTAAAATCAACATCTGCCAAAAGGGCATCATAGTGCATGACGCTATTGTGCAGTTTGTGGAGGATCAGATGTATGCAACCTTGCCTCCGTAAAAGGAAAGGCTGTTTATGCGACAAGAACCTGTGACAACCAGGTCACAAGGCATCAAGCGTACCGTTCCATTAGAATCAACTGTTTTTGAGAAATTAAATTTAGATTTCAATCCATTTGGTCAAGCCGGTGAGTTCACCAACTGACTAGAACAAACATCAAGAAACCAAAAATGTACATCCAACAGTTCCTTAATCCTTACCCAGATATCAAAATATCCATAAGATCCATATTTTTCTCCAAGTAATCGGACGCAATCAACCTAGACTGAACCTGTTGCCTCTGTAAATTTGCAACAACTTGAGTTGCATCTTTTCTGGCCTGCAAAAAGCCCCCAGTCTCAAGATAAGAAAACACCAAAAAAAATAAGCATTAAAATCAGAGTCTAGCATCTAATCTGAATAAAAATACTCATCCCACAGAGGACGCAAATAAACCAAATTGCATCAGACAAGTAATCTAACAAAGCTCTCAGATGAAATTTCTAATTACCTCCAAGTTCAATTTTGGAAGACATTTGATAAGGAGTCGCAAAGTGTCTTCCTTAAAAAATTCCTGAGTCAACTGCGCACAAGCTTCAGCGACGGGCTCAGATTCACTATCTCCATAAAGGATAGACTTTAGCTCCCTCATATTTTTATACAACTCGGCCGTTTGCTGTTAGATGCATCAAACGAAGCAACGTAAACATTAGAAATCGTGAAATCAGAATCGGTGGCATTGCTGAAACTGAAATTGTTAAAGTTGTGATTAAACGCATGTAATGAGAATAGTAAAAAAGGACCTTGTCATCGAGGTTGGTTTGGAGGAGGCGAAGAAGATCTCTGGTGTGGCGAACGATATCGGAGGGAGTGCGGGGCTTGGACTTGAAGAGACTCTTCATCTCGGGAGGTGGAGGCTCTGAATAAACCACCTCCGATGAAGAGCCTCTTCGAGGCCCCCCCTTCGGTTTGGACACGCACGCTCCTATCTCTGCTTCCCGCACTGATAGGGTTTCTGATTACTGTATTGATACTGATCCACCCTCTCCTCTCCTCTCCCCACCCTGCTATCTCATTTCACTTCCCTAATTCTCCATCAATGTCATCGATGATATCTATGTTTCTTTGAACTACACTCCACAATTGAATGAAGAAACTAATTAATTATTTTTCAACTTCTTTTCTTTTCCTTTTGTGTGTGTGTGTGTCCTGAATACATGTCTGTTTCGTTAGTATTCCTTTCCCAACCGAATTCTACAACCAAATCTCAATTAAAAAAATATTTGTACGGGAAGGATTAACTTATAAGATTTTCATAATCATTTATCCTCCTCCCCAAAAATTTTAATCATTTACACATTTATTTAAAAAAAAAATTCATTTATCCTCCTAACTTGATTTTTCATCCAAGTTAAATTTAACGGTGTTAATTTTTTAAAAAAATACTAAAACTATTCTTAAAACAAAACAAAAAATTAAACCCTACACTAACTCGACACCTTATTGCTAGCAAGAGATAAACAATGGTTCTACCTTGCTTTAATCCAAAAGGCATTTACTGATTACTCCAAGAGACAATGGTAGGATACTAGGTTCCTATTTACTACAGCGACTGCTACGATTGAAATGGATTATGGCATTCTGCTAATGCCAATGGATCTTCGACCGTAATACATTCTTGAACCTTCAACCATAGTTGTAGGGATTACAGAAGACATTGAACTGGTAAAATCTCTGGGTTATCTTACCACAGCTTCAACTGTGGGTCACAGGAGTTGCAAAGAGTAGATACCATTTATCATTTGCGTCTCAATTTACGTGTTTGCAATACACTTCATTTGAATTGTTGATTGGGGTCGATTATTGTCTTTTGTATATATATATATATATGATTCAAGAACTCGCTAATTGAAGAAATCTCAAATGGCTGATTGAAGAAATCGCAAAAGGTATATATATATATATATATATATATATATATATACCATTTGAAGAACTCATTTGAATATATGAATCTGCGAGTTTCTGCGAAATAAAAATATATATGAATCTGCGAGTTTCTGCGAAATATATATATTATATTGATCGCATTTGAATACGATTTCATATAGGATTTGTGATATGAAACTTGATTTTATTCTTTGTTATAGAGAAAATACAAATCACTCAAATCCAATCGAATAGAATAGAAGTCCAAATCTTTGAGTGCTTGTTATCAAAAAAAAAAAATCTTTGAGTGCTGTGTGTTTCTTTCAAAACCCGAATTATATAAGTATTTACCGGTTAATCAGAAGGAGGGGCGATGGAGCGTCATAATGATTAGGGTTCCACTCTTCAATGACTATCTCTTGCCAAAAGTAAGTGTAGTGTGTTATTTTTCTTTAAGGGTAGTTTTGATATTTTTAAAAAAAATTAACATTGTTAAGTTTAACTTGGTGAAAAATCAAGTTAGGGGGTAAATGATAAAAAAGTTTTATGTAAGAATATAAATGATTAAAAGTTTTAGGGAAGGGGTAAATGATTCTGAAGAAACTTATAGGGGGTTTTTGAAGTTTTTCCTAAGATTAATTAGTGTTACATCAAATTTTAACCATTAATATTCGTGAATCTAATATTTATAATGAAATAAATATTTTCACAGTAATTTTAGATAAAGTTATTTACAGCTATTCAAAAAATTACATCATTTTGATTAATGAAATATGTTTCTGTAATTTTAGGTGAATTAATTAAGGGTATTTCCATAATTTTGTATTTTTTATCATATACATTTTACTGAAACATTCTTCATTAATTCATCTAAAATTACATAAACACCCTTCATTAGTCAAAACGACATAGTTTTTAGGCTAGCTATAGATAACATTATCTAAAGTGTCTATAGAAATATTTTTTTATTTATAATTTATTGGGTCATATTTATTAATTAATTATTAATTAATAATAAATTCTAACTATTAGATTTATGAAAAATCAATAATTAAAATTTAGTATAAAACTTATTATTCTTTAAATCGACATAAGTTGATCACACATTTTTTCTGCCACAGCCCACACTCCTATAAAAGTTAATGGATTATGCTAATCTTTTCTTTTTCTTTTCTTTATAATAGATCTCACTTGTTTTTACGTGAATGTGGCACACAAAAAATTTCTGCTGTAAAAGCTAAAACATTTTTCTTATATAAAAAATCAGTTAATAACATTTTATTGTAGGAAAAAATATTTTTCCTACCACAAGAGATATCAACAACCTCAAAATTATGTCATTTTGAGAATTGACAAAATTAATGATGGATATCTTAGGGATTTCATTTATTTTTTTATTATATAATTTTTATCAAAGCACCCTTAATTAATTTTTTTTAACCCTCAAAATAATATAGTTTTGAGGTTGTTGAAAATAACTTAATCTATCTAATGTGACAGGATAAACATAAACCCTTTATTGTAAATCTTTATTATCTCAAAAATATTTCTGGCTGAATAATAAAAATTGAAGTTAGTTTTTCACCACTGGTTTTTATCAGTTTTAGACTGATTCCATGAGTACGTTACAAAGAAGTTTTGGAGTTGCCAGGATAACAATTTAATATATTCTCTTCTTATTGAGTAAAATTTTATGCTAATCTCATTCTTTAAGTTATTTAATAAAAAAATGTGTTATTAATATTTCGTCTGTTGATGGTACGAATGGACGCCTGCAATTGTCATGGAGGCAAAGGGATGTGCATATAAATGCATGACATGAGGAGGCCATTACCTCGACCGATAAAGGTTATTTTTATTTCCTGCGTGCATTCACATGTTTCCAGTAGTTACTCATTTCATGCCCAGGCCCCACTCTCCCATCTAACATTATTAAACCATGGTTTCCATTTACCACCCATTTTTCTCATTTAATTCTTTATAAAAGGATTCGTTTTTTCTGCAATTAATACGGATAAGTTGTTTTCATTGAACTCAAAACGACGTTGTTTTGAGAAAAAAATTAAGATATGTTTATAATTTTAATTTATTTAAAGTTATAATAGTCTTCATAATTATAATTTTTAATATTTCAACTTTAAAACAACGTTATTTTAACAATAAATACAGATAACTTATCTACAGTAACTGCATAAATATTTTTTTTTGTTATAAAAAACATAATTATTTTTATCACTATTATATGGATTAAGTGTTTCAAATATTATCAGAGAGAATTTTTTTTAATGAACTTAAATCGATGTTAATTTGGAATTAGGAAAAGAATTATCAGGATAAAATTAATATAGCTTTTACAAAAATTGATTTTTTAGGAAGAATATAAATAATTTCCCCTTATTATATATATGTAAACCTTTCATATTGGCAATTTTCATGCTTTATTTTTTAGGTCAACTCTTTGGTAATTTTTTATTGGCAAGACCAATAGTGGACCATGTCGGATCGGACTAGTATGAGGTCATATCTGGCAATTTTCAATGTTCGTTGAATCTGACGAATTACCAGCGGCCCAAGCAAATGCGCCCCACGAGAGGCATATGGCTACTTTGGTGAAATAAAATGACAAAGCAGATTCTTAATTTTGGTTTCATATTAAATAGAATTATATTCATTTTGTTTCATTTTATTATTCACATTTATTTCGGAAGTTTTAACTTTTATTATCATTATAGACGCATATATAGAGATAAAAGAAATCAAAATTCAATTTACATCCACTCGACTTAGTGCCTGTTTGGATTCTCTCTGTTTTAAGCTAGAAGCTACTTATAAGTATAAGTTAGGTCAAACAGGTTTTGAGAAAAGCTCTTATAATGAAAATCTTTTTTTTTTTATAATGAAGAAAAAAGCTTAAAACTAAAAGCTTCTAGGAGGAGCTTTTAGATTTAAGCTTTTATATGTTTTTCTTGAATTATGTGCTTTTTTTTAAATGAAGAGTGATAAAGATATAAAGAGATAATTTTCTTGAAATATGTGCTTTTAAGTAATTTTTAAGCTAAAATTTTTATGTAATTTCCAAACAGTTTTTAACTTCTTTTTTTAAGCTCTTTTTTTTTAGTTTTAACTTATAAGTAACTTCTAGCTTAAAAATAAAAAGATCCAAACAGGCTCTAAATTATTATCTCCATCTCAGCGAAGAAATGATAACTTATTATGCAGTTATATGTTATACTTTTTAAAAATCTTTTACCAAGCATACAAATTTTGTTTTTGAAATAAAAGATAAAAATATTATTTGCTAGACAAAATAAATTTTTGAAATAAAAGATAAAAATATTATTTGCTAGACAAAATTTGATGGGTTATAAAACATGAGGATATGTTTTTCTTAGAAGAAAAAAATGTTATTTTCATTCTTACACTTATTTGGAAAAGAAAAAAGAAAAAACCGAAAAGATATAAGAAAGAGGATAAGGGTCAGGGAATGTGCTTAGATAGCTGAAAACTGCATGGATTGAAAAATAATTTATAGAAAGACAGAGATTTTAGATGATTTTATATCTTTCTATCATATGCGCGCACTTTAGTTTAATAAAATGTTTTTGAAATGTTAAAGGGTTTAATGTCATTATTTATCATGTTATAGAAGATAAAATTATTTTTACATACATACACTTTTATATATATGAAATAATTTTATTCCCTAGAAACATTAAACCAAATATTGAATGGGCAAAGCATATGATTTTTAACAGTTTGATGTATTAAGCTTGAACAATGACTAAAAATTTTGGTACAGTAATGGTGTATGGAGATTTGCACTCATAACCTCGTATAAATTATGTAAGTCCTCGACTTAACTCACCCCTGTATGTTATTATTGTTATTTTAGATCTTGATCAATTTTAGTAGAGTTAAGTAAATCCATTGAAATATGTAAAGTTTTCATATCTTAATATGTGGATCAATTAATAGTGAATCAATTAATCAGTGATCTCGAACTTTGTCGTTTTATGATCTTATGGGCTTGAAATAAATTAATCAGATAATTAATAAATTACGGAGAAATAAAAAAAGGGTTTTTATAACACCTATTTTCTCGATTTATTCACACAATAAACATGTTAATACTTGACTTACTATTTAAACTAGTTTTAAAAATATTTTAATTAAAGAAAAGTCATTAAGGCCCGTTTGGTACATGGTTTTTGGCAAGATTTTCGAGAAACTGATTTTTTTTAAATTTTAAATTTTTGGATATTATGGTAAATTGAATGTAAAAATCATATTTTTAAAAATTAAATTTTCCAGACAAAAAAAAAATTCTCCTCTACCAAATACCCCTTAAGTGAATGGGTGCTAGTTATGTTTTCGTAAATTGGTATTGTGCCTTGCTGGAGCAGAGAATGTTGTTAATAAGTATGATTTTAAGGCGAGAAGGCTTCCTTCGGTTTCTGATGGGCCTGGCGTGGGCTGTGACAATGAACCTTATTTCTGTTTAAGCAATATCAACCCTCCTACTTACTTGTTGAAAAAATAAATTAAAAAAATAAATGACACCCACATGTCCATCTCTCTCATGATGTCTTGGTTGATATTTTAGCCTTCGGTTTTGGTCCCGAGGCCATTTTCGGTATGTTGTACCAGTGTTACATAAATATAAAATTATTAATATAATTTTATTTAACAAGTTAAATTTTTAGATTAAAATAATTTTTTCTTACCGCTCTATCTTATTAATAAAAATAATTAAATATTACAATTTTTGTTTAACACAAATAATATCGCCTCACCCAATTTACAACCAGAAACCCCAAATTTCATGACCCCGAGTCATTCATAATTCATGCTGCCTTAATAGGGAGCCACTGGGTATAGGGTGTGGCTGTTTTTAATTCTCTTTATGCCCTTTAGTATAAACCAGGCTTAATCAGAGGTTTTACTATTAATTACATCGTTTTTATTTTGTTTCCAAATTCTAATTGTAGTATGTACTATTCATTATATCCAATTTTAATTAAATAATTAGGCATCATACTTTTTATTATATTGTTAATCCACATTCGCAAAAGAAGTGCCAAGCCAAAAATAAGTTGATAAAATAAATTTATATCAATTGAAGACATTTTTCAGATGATCAATTAAACTTAAGAATACGCCAACTGAGTTTACTTTTATTAAATTACAGGGATCATTCAAAACTATAATCAAGACTGAAAAAGGAGTATGTAATTTTATCTTATCTTATTTGTATTTTTTAAATGAACTTCATAATCTGTAAAACTTAGAAAGTCAATCTATAAACAATTTAACACAAAAAATAATCAGTGACAACAACTCCAATCTATATACCACTCTTCATCAAGTGGTGGAAGAAAAGATTACAACAGAAATTGATAAAATCGTTTGCCTATTGATATCTATATATACTGGGTATCCACAATTGCAATGCTTTTAACTCCTGGGTAAGAAGGAAGATTGTGTAAAACCATCAAGACAACAACCAAATTTATAAAGCAACGTGAAATTTGTTGGAATTTACGTATAAATTGTGTAGACAATCTATTGGTTATGAATAAGAAGTAGGTTAAGGAAGAAAAGAGTTCAAAGTACTAAAAAAAAAAATGGAAGAAGAGGGAAGTTGAAGGGGTGTGTGGGTTTAAGAAGTTTCACATTGGACAACTAATAGGAAGTGGGAGAGTTTATAAGCTTCTACCTCACACTTCTAAATTGGCCCTTGGGGTCACTACACATTTTGTGGAGGGAGAAGAGTTAGGTGGGCTTAGGGTAGGGGTGGTAATACAGGTATTGACCCGCGGGTTGACCCGTGACCCGACCCGCCAAATCACGTGTCGTGTCAACCCGCGGGTCAGGGCGGGTCGTGTCAGGGTTGTGTAAATGTGACCCTTTTTTTTCGTGTCGGTTCGCGTGTCAACCCGCACAGTGTCATTTTTTTATTTTTTTATTAAATATTTTATTATATTTTTATTTTTATTCATTTATATATTGATATATATAGTCATTGTTTAGTATAGAAAAGAATAGAAGGAACTAAAAATCTCAAAAAACAGAAGCTAATCTTTTTTTTTTATTGTTTTTAATTTATTTATTTTTCAAAAAATCCCACTTTTTTTTAAATTTTAAATTTTACGGGTCGTGTCGTGTCGACCCGTGACCTGCAACGGGTCGTGTCAGGGTTTGTGTTTTACGACACGTTTACAAAACGGGTCGTGTCAGGATCGTGTCAAATAGTGTACGGGTCAAAAACGTGTCGTGTCGTGTCGGGTTGACCTGTATTGCCACCCCTAGCTTAGGGCCACCGCCCGTCCAGCCAGCTCGGCTCGTGTGTGTTAAATAATTTTATTTTATTTTTTAATTTTTTATCCAAAATACCCCTGTGAGGATGTGACTATCTATTGCTTCCCTCCAATTTTTTTCAAACTCAAATGTTTCTACCCGCCAATTTTTTGAACATTTTATCTATAAATAGATCCTGACCCAGAAAAATTATCCAGTTTTTATGCATTGTTACTCTGCCGGAATTTTTTCTTCTTCCGGTTGCATCCTCCTTTCAGTTTTCTCGATGTACTTTCCTAGGGCAATTATTGTGTTCGTTTGGGCTGTTGACTGATAGTGCCACCACTCCTCATACGAAATCCGTTCTATCCTGGGAGACTTTTGTCCATCAAACCCTTTGGCAGGGGACAAATTGTCTTAAAGAAATACGTTTTGTGGGCTCGGATGTAATTCCTCATACTGCATACATTTATTTGTCATAATTGCACTGTATATGATATTTCTGATCATTATCTCTTCTGTTCTTTACATTGGTTCAAACCTCTTACTAATGTAATATCGTCATTTATCATCTATTGAATATCGTCATTTATTCCAAAAACAATTGCTCCTGCAACACCAAAACTTAGATGTCAAAATCCTTTTTCAATCAGATATTGATTTTCTCCAAACAAATATAAACCAGAATATAGCTAGGCAATAATAATCTATACCTAGAGTTGGCATCAGAAATGAGAGCACAGCTATCCCAGCAACCTTAAGTGGCACCCCAACTTTGAGCAAGTCTTTGATTTCAATATGGCCAGTGGCAAATCCAACTACATTTGATGGAGTTGAAGTTGGAAGCAAGAAAGCAAACTCTGTTGCTACTGCTCCGGGGACCATAAGAAGAAGAGGATGCACATGCATAGTCTTGGCTATGTGATATAGAAGTGGGATAAGAAGCGTGGCAGTGGCGTCATTGGAAGTAATGAACTCAGTAATAATGCTACTCATAAGACTAACTGCAGGAGCAATGGCCAAGAACGGTGCATCTTCCAAGAAACCTAAGGCTCCGGATAGCACATCTGCTAGGCCACTAGATTGGATTCCATCAGCTAAAGCAAACCCAGCTCCAAGAAGCAAAATCAGGTTCCAAGGTAGCTTCTTGCATTCATTCCAGTCCATTAGCTTCTCCCCCTCTTGTTTCTTGTTTGGGATTATGAACAATAATATAGCCGCCATAACCTATATTATATAAAATTATTAAAAATTTGTTCTGTATACTTGGAGGTGTAATAACCAATAGATATATAAAATTATTGATGTAGACTCACTCAATAGCTTAAGCTTTAAGTTTTTGGGTTTCATTGGTTCTTTATATGATACTAGAGTCTCGGTGTCACGGGATTCAATCCTCACCGCTCCTATTTAATTAATAAATAATTAAGTCTCGATTTTCTTAACACAGATAGGTGGTGGGCCTGTACATTATTCATCATTCAAGTCTATTGAGCTCGTGTGAGGGAGCGTCTTAGAGAAGTATAAAATCATTAACGTAGCCTCACCCGAATAGCTTATGCAAGCTATTCGGGTTCCATTGGTTCTTTATAAATCTTAAAGGAGGTGCAGTAGTACTCACACTGACACTTCCATCACCAACAAGGCCATGGAAGAAAGCTCCCCATCCGGGAATGTCATCTGTTATTCTTCTTGTCATCCATAATATGATCAGCAACTGCGTTGATCACAACACCATTATCAAAACAGATTTCCTCATTATTAAGATATAAATGCTGAAATCGTATTTAGACATACACACCCCAAACACAGACAACACCATCTTCTCCGCAAAAGACATGGGACCTGCAAATACCAATTACAGAATAAGAACTGCATCAGCTTCAATTGTTTTGGATCAAATGATTATAAGTATGTTTCTTTTATTAAAACTAATTTATTTATAAATAAACGGAATGTGAAAATGTTTAGAGGATATATATTGTCAGGGAAAATTTTATTGTATTCTGGTTTTTAAAAGAATTAAACTACTATAAACATGTTTTTTTAAATGATTTTGATGAATAATCAAATGGAAAAAGTGTTTATCCTTTTAAATGACATAACTTATATCATTTTACTCCCATAAAGAGGTGGGACCCATACCTTTATTTTTTTGTCAACTCTCTCTCCTCTTTTATCTATATCTTTTTCTTTCTTAAAATGACACAATTTTACATACTTTAAAATGACACACACTTTACCCATAATCAAATTACCAGCTTTACTTTTCTTTTTTAGTAAGATTATATTATATAAAAGAAAAACACAATTAGAAAATAATATATGTTCATGATAATTTAATTATTTTTTTTTTTTGCAAATAGATAATTTAAATTTTTTTAACCCAAAGTAACATTGTACTCATCGAATTGTATAGATGCTAAGAGCAATTTCAATGGGATAAGCCATTCCACATGAGTCCATCACAATCCTTTTCGACCGCTTCTTATTTCATTTCATTTTTTGGTTAGTGAACCTCACGTGGTGCGGCTGCAAAGAGAACTCCTTTCTTCATCTAGATAATAATTATTATTTCCACTACCACTAGCTTATCCCAAGAAGAAAGCAAATGTATTTATACAAAAAATTGTTAGTCACTTATTTCTTAAAAAAATAAATGAAATAACATAAGGTTCAATTAGTATATATCTTTATAGGAATTAATATTTCTCATATTACATGAGATAATTTTATATCATATACATACATAAAAATATGTGAGATCATATTTTTCTTTTCTATTTACATAAATCCTATATATTTTTATATGTGCATAAGAAATAATTTTATTTCTTATAACATTGAAAACATTAATCTCATTTTTATAAGGAAAAAATGTGTGTCTTTTTAAAAGGACACAAATTTATATCCTTTTAAGAGAGAGATAGACACAAAGAGATAAAAATCCCATTAAAAAAGGTAAAGACGAAAAACAAAAAACAAATAAAAATATGAATCTCATTTTTTTATATTTATTTTTCTTATAAAAGAACCTAAATTTATATTCTTTACAAGACACGTATTTTTCCCTTTTTATCAACAATAATCTTTTTCTCTCAAAAAGAAAAAGAGTAGGGTCTACTAATTTGGTAAGTGCCACATTCGAGGGGTACACATAACCACCCAACAGATCCGGTGGGGCAATAAGGAACCCGAGGTAATGATGTAAAACAGAAAGAGAACGACAAATGAGGGAAGGTTAGCTAGACTTTTTCTCTGCCCTTTTCTTTCCCTCGGTTTGTACTTTTTCTTCTTTTTAAAAAAAAAAAAAAATGATATGAAGGAGGAACTTACCCAGAGATTCTAGGTCTCTCTTCAAGTGGGCTTTGTTCAAGTAAGAAGACAAAGCCTGAGCCGATCCCTTTCGTACGTAGAGCAAGCGGAGGATGCACCAAAAGGAGATAAGGAAGAGAAGAGCCACAGGGAATCCAAAGAAGAACCAAGTGTTGAAGCTTATTGGGTTGGCCCCAGGGACAAGGCTCTTCCACATCCCCACCAATATCAGGTTCACACCTGTCCCCGTCAGAGTGCTTATCCCTCCAATTGGCGTCGCATACACCACCGTCAGAACCACCGCTCTGCTGAACTTGTTGACCACATCCGATTGCTCCTGCGGTGGTGGCAGTCGCTGTAAGATCCCGGTGGCCACCGGCATCATCATCACCGCAGCTGCCACGTTGTGCATCCACATGCTTACGAAGAATGACGTGGCACACAGACCCAATAGCAGCAACCCTGGATTCAATGGCTCTCCACAAAACATCAACGTCACCTGTAGGGCCACGTCATTTCGCACATAACCAATATGTTATTTTTCTTTTCTTCTTTTTAATAACTGAATGGCTCATTTTCCATCTTAGGAAGTAAATAAATATTTTCCTCTAAACCATATTACCAAATAATCATAATATCATATCCAACAGATAATCATATCAGAAGCGGAAATTTCCACATCATTAAAAAACATGGGAGAACCGAGCAAACTTCAATTACTTCTTATGGTAGTCGTGTCTCACTTAATTTAATGTGATATTTACGTGAGACGATTTCAAACTTCTCATAAATTAATGGTTATTCTTTCCTAGTACTAACACATTTTGCTTTTCTCTCCGATGGCTGAGAAAGTTTCGTGCTTTCGAGTAAATCTTTACACAATAAAACTGATTATCTGGTACGTACTGTCCATGGAATATTTCGTTGGAAGACAATAAATCAAATTTGACCAATTCATATTTATTTATTTTCTCCTTTTTCCTCACATAAATCTCACGTGCTTCATATTTTTATGTGTATGTACATTAATCCTGTAAATAAATAATGTTTATAAAGTAACATGGAGATTTTAAACTTCTGGAAAAAGGGAGTAGTGACTCACATTCAAGGCCAATCTTCTGTGTACGTTGTATCGTTCAACAGCGAGAGCAAGTATGAAACTTCCCAAGACCAGCGTAATAACGTCGTCCAAGTAAGAGTGAGCAACACTATCAGATGAAGCTATCCCAAAAAGAGGGAACAGAAACAGGGGACACATGGAGGTCACCGGAAGTGGTACGGCGGCGGTGACCCACCAACAAAAGACCCAAGCAATCACGGCGAGCATATTCCGGCTACTCGCGGGAGCATCGAGCTTCACAAAGAGGCATATGATAAGGGACAAAAAGGGTCCTAATATGATATAGAAATTCTTGAGGGTGAGAAGGGATTTGAAGGTGAAGGGGGAGCTCTGTGTTTGTTGGATTGGGTCGTGAAGGGGAAGAAGTGGGGACTTGAGGTTGACGCCATCGGAAGCAGATGCCGGACTGTGTTCTCCGGTCATTTTTTGACAAAAAGGAAATGGAAATGCAGGGGAAGCAATAAGATTCAGAGTTGCGCTTTTGTTTCTAAATGTTCACGTAACAGTAGAAGGAGTGGCCAAATTTGCTTCTTTTGTTACAGCGGAAATTGTTTGTCATGTTATACGATAATAAATCAATTTTTCTACACACAAATTTAAGTTAGAGCTTTACTTTTGATTTTTTTCTCATCACACTATTTAATGGACTCTACATACATTATTATGAATGTGTAAAAAAATAATTTCTTGTCATGTAATATGATAAAAACAAAATCCTTTATTATATTACAATTACAATTATATTTTCAATTTGAGATTTTTTATCACAGTTATTAAATTGAGATCGATCATTGTTCGGTTGGATTATCGGTTTATGAGTTACTGATTGAACCAGTAAAAAAGAGTTTATGTAAAAATATATTAAATATATAACTATAAAGTAAAATGACAACCAACTAAACTAATCTGGTTTAGGGTCCGTTTGGTGGATATAATAATAGAGGAATGAGTAAAATAAGAGGAACGGATAAAAATAAGAACTTAGTCGGACAAATTCATATTTTATTTTGTGTTTGATGCGAATTAGATAAACAGTTTGATAAGATAATATTATTCTATTCGATGCTTAAGGCAAAGCACGTAGTGTTATGACATAATATAAATAAACAAAAATATCCTTTTTAACAAAATCTGAAATGATTTTTAAATTTTTTTTTTTTTACTTATCTACATATTAGTTCTTATATTGAATTATAAAAAAATTATAAGTCACAATTTTGAATGAAATATAAATAACTTAATAAAAATATTTAACAATAAAAAATTATATCTTCACCAAATAAATTTTTAAAAATAAGTTTTAAATTAATTGTCAATATTGATGGTTGGTCATAATGGTGGCGGCGACAACAGTTACTGCAATGGGTGACTAGTTGAAGTGGTGGAGGTGGTGGGTGCTTAGTGGTTATTGGTGGTGGTGGCCCAATGTAGTGGTTGGTTGGCAATGATGGCAAGTGGAAGTGGCGGTGGCAGTTCCGCCAACGATGACTAGTGAAAATTATGGGAGGTGAGTGATGTTGATAGTGGAGGTGGATGCTAGTGGTTGGGGCGACAATAGCGGTGGTTGGTAGCTCATGGCGATAGTGATGGCTGGCTAATGGATGGCAGTAGTCGACGATAGTAGTGGCCGATAGCCAGCGACGAAGGTGGTGGAGGTTGGTTAGTGGCAAGGGAAGAATGTGACTCTTGCTATCATATCCTGTCAATTCCTAACCGGGTTCCCTTTTAGCTATAACGGACAAGATAAAATGAGTTGACAGGATAAGCTAATCATATCCTGTTGGTTCACCAAATAATGGATAAAAGTAGAATATGATAATTTATCATATCTTGTCCTCTCTATCATGACGGGCATTTAGTTTAGTGGTTAACATTTAACTTCTCTTTCTTTAGGTGCCAAATTTGAATTCTAAAAGTGAAATTGTGGTGAGATATTTTGCTATGATTTTCAAGAATTGATTTAATTAGAAATTTGGTAACAGCTTTGTATCAGTTGAATCCCGTTTATGATCAATTCAACACTTCTTGATTAGGTCATATGCATGGTCGATCTATTGATTGAACCAGACTACTTAGTGGTTCGGTTTAGCTGGTCTCATCGTCTATGTTAGCGCGATTTTAATAACCCAATTTTTTATATATGGAAATTATTTCTTTTCTTAAATTGAAATTCACCTTAATAAAATCATAACATCCCTTGCACAATTTTAACAATCTTTCTAAAAACCACTGATTTAAACGCAATTTTCACTTTAAATCACTATAAACTCCTTTCTTTATTTATGATTTAAATCAATTTAAATTTATTTCTCAAAATATAAGGCACCTTTCATACTTATTATTTTTTATTTGTGGCATCTTTGGTAGGGACGATCAACGAAGGTCCACCCAATAATGTAGGTGTGGGGCCTGTGAATGGACCGACATATGGGCAATTGTAAATAAATGAAGTAATGGACCAATTCCTTCATTCCGTGGCTTATGATTTGAAGGAAGGTGGCAATGCAATCATATGAAAATAAAAAGTTTTAATACCAATAATTAATTGAATAGCAAGGAAATGAAAAAAGAATCCCGAAGGTAATCTTTAAAGCGTGCACCTCTGATACGAATGTGACCAAGGGAGCTACAGAAACAGCAAGGCAGGCTGCAGTTGTGACTGGATGAGCTAGGCTCAAGAGGATTGCTGGTGCTCCAAGTTGGGCTGTGGACTTCCAGGCCCATTGAGTTGAGAAACAGTTGTGACTGAATGTGACCAAGGGAGCTACAGAAACAGCAAGGCAGGCTGCAGTTGTGACTGGATGAGCTAGGCTCAAGAGGATTGCTGGTGCTCCAAGTTGCGCTGTGGACTTCCAGGCCCATTGAGTTGAGAAACAGTTAGCTTCTTGTAATAGGAAGTTGTTAGTTAATTGGTATTGGTTAGTTAGTTAGTTGAGTATAAATAGGAACACAACATTGTAACTGAATTGGTCGTTCAATAAAATTGTTTTGGTTCTTCAATAAGAGACTCTCTCTTATCATTGGTACTTTCACGGCTTCTCCATTTTCGTGCAACCATGAAGGTGCAGGAACTTGCAGAAGAGTTCGAGACATTCAGACTTCGCATGGAGCAATGTTGGGATGAAAATCAGTCACAGATTGCAACTTTCAACTCTCAACTCCAGCAAATTCATGTTGCTGTTATGGGTTTGGAAACTCGTGCGCATGATTCAGGTTCGGACCGTAACCCTAAGCATTCTTCGGATACAGTGCATTCCTCTACTCATACTATTCGTGGAGGTAACCATCATGGTGATCACAATGATCCACGTTCCTTCTTTAAATTCGATCGGATGGAATTTCCATCATTTACTGGCACTGATCCTAATGGCTAGATCTTTAAAACTGAAATGTTGTATGCACTTCAGCAAGTACCAGAGGAGTATAAAATTCAACTTGCTGGGTTGAAAATGGAGGGGATTGCGGGTTCATGGTACCAATGGCTTTATAAGGGTGATACCTTGAAGTCTTGGAGTGATCTTAAGGTAGCTTTACGTCAGCGTTTTGGTGCTGATGCTTACATGGATCTACGGGGTGTTTTGTCCAAATTATCCCAAACTGGAACCTTGAGTGATTATATTCGTGATTTTGAAGCCTTGATTAACCAAGTCACTGAATTTTCCGGTGAGGTGCTTAGTTTCTTTCTCTCTGGTCTGCAAGCTAATCTTCAACGTGCAATTCAGTTTCACAAACCTACTTCCCTTCACCAAGCGATGCAATTGGCATTAGCATATGCAGCTCATCATGAGGAGTTACGTACTTCATTTGCTACCACTTCAAAGAGCAATATTGTTCGTCCAGTATTGAGTAATTCTCCAGTACTGCCAACAGCTCAGGTTCCCAAAATTACACTGTAACACCCCAAATTTCTAACAATTTATAATAGCATAAATAAATTCAATAATTTTATAAATAACAGCGGAAGTTCAAAATAATCAAATTTGGGAAGTGTTACCGCCGCACTTGTACAGGGACAAGTGCAAGGCTAACTCTATTACATTCAAATAAAAATCTAAGACTACAGTTTTTTTTTTTTTTACATAATATTTATGACAGCTAGAAATATCCGAGTCGTGATCCTCACTGCCCACAGCTAGCCCCATCCTTTGCAACATGCTTCACTGAAAATCTGCTCCCCCGCAGCCGCAGGATCATTGCAGTCAAACAAACACAAAAGTCAGCAAAGCTGGTAATCCCAATCAAGATACAAAACGAGGATAATATAACCCAATATCAATCAAGACATTTATTTAAGAATAATCAACATAATCAACTCAATTAATATTTCGAATATGTCATTTATTCATAACTCAAGCAATATTCAAATATGTCATTTAATCATAATCAAGTAATAATTCAAATAAGAAATTTAATCATAAATCAAGCAATAATTCAAATAAGTCATTTAATCATAACTCAAATCAAGTATTAATATCATTATTAATCATGTTTAAGATTATTTAGTCCATTTAGTTTATAAGGGTAATTGTCAACTAACATATTTAGCACAACATTAATCATAATATGATAATATTCACAACTCAATGACATTCTTCATAATCAAATCAAATAACAATTTTCATTAATAATGTTTAAGTTCATTATATTTAGTGGGAAGAGAACCATGGTAGACCCGGGGAACCCTGCCAGTCTACCATGTGACCCGGGAAACCCTGCCAGTCACAAACAAATCATTTTGGCCATAATCAATTCACATCTTCCTAGTGTGCACACCTCTTCCCAAAGTTGCTACTAGTATCCCGGGGAACCCTGCCAGACACCACTTTGGGAAGAACGGATATAATCATTTTCACATCAGTTTCACATCGGAGGCATAAAGCCCAAAAGTTGTGTTCATCACTTTGGGAGGTACCATCCCAAAGCTATCCTCCCACTATCAATTTTTTTTTATACAAACATAACAAAATTCCTCAATTTATTTCAAATATATGTAATATCTATTTTCTGCAACTAACAATTAATTTCTAATTTATCAAAACATATATATATTTTAGTGCCTCAATTTATAAAATAAAGCACAGGATTCAAAAGAAACAATTGTAACTAACAACATATACTGAAAGCATGTATTTGAAATAGGTTGATCACGTAAACCGAGAAAAATATCATTGCAAATATATGCGTATAAGCAAAAGTGAAGGACATATTAATTTGCAAATTGAAAGAAACCAATCAGGCATCTAATTTAATGGAAAGTGACGCACAAAAATCGAGAAGGAGAGTTTTGTTTTGTGAACAATGTTTACATATATAAAAGCAACGATAATTTGAATTCAATTTAAAGAATTGCACAGAAACCGAAAGAAATTTGCAACGAAGTGTAACTATGATATATATTTAGGATCATAATTATCCTATCAAAATTCATATAAAATTAACCTAAGACTTCTAAGGATTAGGATTACACATACCAAATTTTAC